CATGGCCATAGCACGCAGGGAGCGGTCATCTGCAAGCAAGTGTGTGATCTTGTTCCTACACAAAATTAAGCGTACTCTACAACGGTAAAGAGGTTTTCCCTCTACCTCCTCAGTTTTCGGAAAAACCTTCGCTCAAACATTGGAAAATTTCACCAAACAGGCTAGGGCATGACGAGGAGGCATGTTCACAGCCACAGCACGGCGGAAGCGCTCGTCTACAAGCAAGTATGTCATCTTATTTCTACACACAAGTAAGCGTACTCTACAACAGTGAAGAGATTTCCCCGCTACCTCCTCAGTTTTCGGAAAAACCTTCGCTCAAACATTGGAAAATTTCACCAAATAGGCTAGGGCATGACGAGGAGGCATGTTCATGGCCACAGCACGGAGGGAGCGGTCATCTGCAAGCAAGTGTGTGATCTTATTCCTACACACAAGTAAGCGTACTCTACAACTGTGAAGAAATTTCCCCGCTACCTCCTCAGATTTCGGAAAAACCTTCGCTCAAACATTGGAAAATTTCACCAAATAGGCTAACTGTCCTGCCGAGAATTGATCTATGATTTCCATTTGAACACGAGAGGAGGAGATGTTGAGCGCAGTCACTACGTGTTAAGTCATTTAACGCGCCGCTATGGAATAGGGACCATGAAATCTGGAAAAAAGCAATCGATCCATTCACAATACAATGGACGATGTTGAATACGCGGCGCGTTCTGGGGCAACTGCTGAGACCCATCTCTCTGAAGAAAGATCATGATGCATAAGCGGGATTATATGCGCACCACATTCAAACAATTTTTTCTCGAGCCAAAGCTCGAGTGCATGGCGCAATCTGAAGTAGGGCTTTTAAAAGTTTAAAAGCAATTCTTATAGAACTCGACGAGCTGAGTTCAACGCTTTTTTCAGATTTTGAAAATCTCAATTTTGAACCGAGTTATAACGAATTCACGAAATTAACGAGGATTCGCGTTATTCGCGTGAATTTTCGATTTCAAACGGCGAGTACTGTAGTTGTCCCTTATACGTCGTTCTCTTCGCGAATCCTGCGGATTCCCTCGCCCGCCTCTTGATTTGCTGCAACTGCCTTTTCGCGCAAAGGATTCATGACGGCGTCCTGGAGACCGAGGGCAAGCTTCTGTATTTGATCGAGTCTGTCTCGAACTTCTTTCTCGAAGGTCAACTGCTCCTTTTCCGTATCGTTTTGAGCTTCTATGCGTAGATCGTTGAGTGAGGATCGGAGGGAACTCAGCATCTGAAGTTGGTCCGAGGTGATGTCCTCCAGACTATCCATGTCCATTATCAGCGCTTTGTTGTGACTGACTTCTTGCGGTTGGCTCATAAGGGTCTCCCAGTACTGCTTCGTCATCTTGTCCATTGCTATGAGCAAGGGTGGAAGGGAGAAGAAAGTTAATAACTGAGACCTACAGAAGCGAAATTGCAGATAGAGGTAATCAATTTCAAGATTGAGCGAGCTTATCTCTGAGATGCGTTGCTGAGAAGACTTATCAGAGGAGCGCAGCCTACGAACTTTCTCTTCGATAGAAGTGACAGCTTGGGTATGAGTGTAATGATCAGTACAAAGCACGACGATCTTGTCATACAGAACACCAGGTTCCGGAAGAGGAGGGATGGCACGCTTCAGCTGATGAAGGCTTCTCTGTGTCTGATGCAACTGTTGCTTCAAATTTTCAACTTCGTTTACGTTCTGAAATGAGACATTCATTTTTTCAGAAATCATTAAAAGGCGCACCTAATTTCTGATTTACCTCAGCGTCCATACTAATAGTCGAATGTGTTTACAAGGCGCACCTACGATGAAGATAACTTGTGAGCGCACGTTGACTCTGAACGAGTTCTGTCATTCTAATATTGTTACATGATCTTCAAAGTTAATAATAATCACAGAAGCGCTTTTTTTTTTGGATTTACGTACTTTTTTGGCGTTGTTTCTTTTTTGTGGTACAAAACATTAGCTTTACACAACTGAAAAAATACTGTACTGATTTTTTTACTATAAAAACATTCAACCCACTTTCCTTGTTTTTTGCTTACTAGTGCGCATACAGGTTTAAAACAAAATGGCGCACTGGCGTTATCCAACGGTATCGTGAATGTATTGTAAGAACATGTGGAAGCTTTTTCCTCCTAGCTTGTATTATGCATAATGAATTTGCCATTGGTAGATAAATAGACAGCGCTAGCCAAATGATGGTGAGTATACGTAGGCCAATGCTAGCTCCCAAATTCTTTTGAAATAACGAAGCACTTTTGTTATTAACGTGGAAATTGGCGCAACTATCACTGGCTATGTATTGTAGGAATAATTTTTCCTTGAAAAAGAGTTCTGTCTGAATTTCAACAAGGTGAACGCATCTGTGAATATTTTGAGTATTTTTCAATCCATTTGCGCACGTATCAAGAGCTTGAGGCGCTGTTGTGATGTAATAGAACCCCTTCTTGGCGCATACAAGACCCCCAGGAGGCGTCGCGCAACCCGAACAGACTTGGATAAGCGAAAGAATCATGATGTGGAAAAGAAACCATTTGGGAGTAAGGCGCCGAGCGTTGCTAACCACTGTTGCCGTATTTACCTCCTGCGCGTCACTCTTTGGGGTTCGTGGTCTCAAGTTGTAAGGTCGTGTGCGCGCTCTTGATTTAGCCATCTCATTTTTACCAGTCCACCAGAGGAAGGCGTAACATGTGTACGTGCGCTGCCTTCAAGGATTCGTGCTTCCTGAATTTCGAGCGGAATCAACAGATTTATGGGACGGCGTATTTTTCTTTTTGTGTTTGTAAGAAGCTCTGCTTCGCGCACTTCGCCGTCACTACTGCGTTTCAACTCCGTTATGCGGCCCATTTTCCATTCGTTCCTTGGCAGGACAGGGTCGCTAACCAAGACGACGTCACCGATGGATGGGTGTTCGCTTCCCTGTCGGCGATTATTTATCTGTTTCCTGTGCGTTTCTCGTAGAGAAAGCAGGTACTGCTGTTGCCAAATATTCCAGAAACGTTGCGCTTCCTGATTTGATGAGTGTAGCGCTTCTATGACCTGCCTCCGATATTGAAGCGGGCGTAACTCATCGGGAGGCAGGTAATCGGGATCACACTCGTCTGCGCTGGGGTCTTCGGGGACTGGAAACGTGAACGTTATATCCCTGAGTATGAAATCAACTGGGACGAATGGAGCTCATAGTTTCATGAGCTTCTCCTTGATAGGTGAGTGGCCTAGAGTTCAAACTCGCTTCTACTTCAGCAACAAAGGTGCAAATGTCGTCGAAGAAGCGCCGACTTGTGCCTCTTAATGTTTTGTAGATTGCATGCTTTATGGATTTGATAAGGCGTTCATAAAATCCTCCTTGCCATGGGGCGTACGGCGTTATGTGGTTCCAACGGATTTCCTTATCTGCGATTTCACGTCCGATATCTGACTTGATTTCCGTCCTACCTTGGCCCAGAATGCTTTTCGTGAGCAAGAAGGTTGGTGCATTGTCACAGGTTATTGTTTGTGGGAGTCCCCTGCGCGCAATGAATCGTCTAAGTGCGTTTATGAACTCCTCAGTAGCCATGCTTCGTACAACTTCTATGTGAATAAGACGCGTTACAGTGCATGTGAAAATGCAACCGTACAATTTGATTATTTTTTCGGCACAGATTAGTGATT